GCTGCACTCCAGTCTGGGCGACAGAGGGAGACTCCAACTCAAAAAAAAAAAACCAAACACACCCGCCCACAATGTGATTGGCTCCTGACAGAGTCCAAGAGTGCACAAGGACAGAGGGGGACTGCAGGCCATCCCTGTTCATCTATCTGTGCCTGGCGCCCTGGGCCTGACATAGAGGCCCAGGCTCTTTCTGACAGTCTTCTTTGTCCCTGGGAAGAAACCAAGGTGTCAACACAGAGTGACGCATGGGCTCCCCCCTGGGTGGCACAAATGTATCAGTTGTAGCTGGTGATTTGGGCATCCAACCCAGTGTCCTGGGCCATCCTCTCAGGCCACGATTTTGTTTTATTTATTTTATTTTAATTTTTTTTTTGAGTTGGAGTCTCACTCTGTTGTCCAGACTGGAGTGCAGTGGCAGAAGGCTCTGGCGATCCTTCCGCCTCAGCCTTCCAAGTAGCTGGAACTACAGGCGCGCGCTACCATGCCAGGATAATTTTTGATTTATTATAGAGATGAGGTCTTGCCAAGTTGCCCAGGTGGGTCTCGAACCCACGGGCTCAGGCAATCCACGCACCTCGGCCTCCCAAAGTGCTGGGATTACAGGCTGAGCCACCGAGCCCGGCTTCAGGCCACTATTTTATTTTATTTTATTTTTATTTTTATTTTTTGAGTTGGAGTCTCACTCTGTCGCCCAGACTGGAGTGCAGTAGCCCCTCCTGGCCACCGCAGCCTTGACCTGCTGGGCTCCGGCGATCCTTCCGCCTCAGTCTTCCGAGTAGCTGAAACTACAGGCGTGCGCTACCATGCCCGGCTAAGGCCACTATTTTAAACCATTCAAAAATATGTCTATTACAGTATGTTGCATGTAGAACATAAGCGTTCAACATCACAAGCTTGGCAAACGTTTGTTCTTCTATCATTCTGCTTTACCTAGGTAAATAAGTATCCCAGAATGGCAACTTATAGGACACTTACATGGGTATATGAGTAGGTGGTTTAGTTTAGAATGTGTGACTAGCCGGGTTCAGTGGCTCAGCCTGTAATCCCGTGCCTTGGGAGGCTGAGGTGAGTGGATTGCCTGAGCCCGTGGG